TGTATGTATGTATGTATGTATGTATGTATGTATGTATGTATGTATGTATGTATGTATGTATGTATACACAAGGTTTTCCAAAACTAGTGTAAAATATTGAAATGGGAGGTTCCTGACGTAATTTTGAACAACATTTTCCTTAGCGAAAAAGTTGTCCGAGGCATGGTTGAGGAGTTATTAACAAAAAACCCCGACCAATCAGAGCGCTCGGTTGGCGCGAGCTGCGAATCGGGAACGTTGGCTCGAATCTGGATGCTCGAACTTTGCCGCGTGAAGAAGCGCTCCGCTCGTAATTTTATTTGAAATACGTGTAATTTTATTTGGAAATTCAGGTATGACAGAAAGGAGAGAAGTATGATAAGATTGATCGACGTGCATTTGATGTGCGCGATGGACCGACCGTATCGTGGTGGAAAGGACGTGACGCCTCGGTTTAAAAGGCACTTCGTCGTCCTGACGATAGGAGAATTCGACGACGAAGTGATGATAATGATATTCAGTAAAATCATTCTCTGGCACCTTGACACAAGGTATAAATCCTAAATTCAATTACGTCGATTAATATTTTATTCCATCGCAGCAATAATTATGAATTTTTACAAAAAGAATCCTAATTTTTATATAAAATTCTAGAATTTCAACAAATTGAGATATAAAATAACTATGAATTGCTAATAAACGTGTTTCTCATTTATTATGTAAAATTTTATGTAAATTTTCAGAGGATTCAGTAAAGAATTTGATCCGTGTATCGACGAAGTCGTCCTGGGCACGTTAGAAGTGTACAAGGAAAGTCTTCTTAATCTTTTACCAACGCCAGCTAAATGTCACTACGTCTTTAATCTTCGCGACTTCTCCAAAGTGATACAGGTCTCCTCTCTAATTCCAGTTCTCAATCATATAATGTTACTTGGAAGAGAAATTAAGATCTATTTCAAAAATAATTGTACAGGGTGAACCACGAATCGTGTTCAGTATAGAGTTCTTTCTTATTAGCAGTCCGATCGAAAATGTTTTTATCAAGAATAGCATGGTTTCAAGAGAGTTTTCACGTGATTATAGCAAATTTTTTCTCATGGGTTTCCAAGACCACTTTCAATTTTTTGTAAATACACC